TATTCTCGCCTACAAAGCCCTTAATGGGCAGGCGCCATCTTACCTTAAAGAACTCATTATACCCTACTGTCCTACTAGGGCATTGCGTTCCAAGAATGCAGGGTTATTGGTTGTTCCTAGAGTTTCTAAAAGTACAATGGGAGCCAGAGCCTTTTCTTATCAAGCTCCACTTTTGTGGAATCAGCTTCCAGTTTGTGTTCGGGCGGCAGACACCCTATCCGTTTTTAAGAGTGCGCTTAAGACCTTCCTTTTTGATAAAGCTTATAGTTAGGGCTGATTAGATTCAGCTCCTAGTTTTGCTGATATAGGCTTAGTTTGTCGGGGGACATCTTACTTCTTCCTTCTCTCTGTCTATACCTGTGTACTCTCATATTCCGATTAACCCAGCTTCCCCACATTTCTTTCTTTTTGGTGTCTATATACGCCGGGATCCGGAGTCATGGATGATCCTGTTGCTGCGGTCCTGTGTCCTGGATCGCGAGACCTGGATCTTGAGTCGTGGCTGTGCCTGTTGCTGTGGTCCTGGATGGATATCCTCGTGGATTCATCTTCTTATTATACAAACATGCATTTCCAAACATTTGGACTACCTATGTTGTAAATGTATTATCTCTTCGATTTACACACAGCATCTATTGCACGTCTGTCCGTCCTGGGAGAGGGATCCCTCCTGTGTTGCTCTCCCTGAGGTTTCTCCCTTTTTCCCCTTTAAACTGTGGGTTTTCTCCGGAAGTCTTTCCTTGTACAATGTGAGGGTCTAAGGACAGAGGGTGTCGTATTGTCATACTGATATTCTGTACAAACTGTGAAGTCCACTGAGACAAATGTAACATTTGTGATATTGGGCTATATGAATAAACATTGATTGATTGATTGATTGATTGATTGATTGATTGACCGTGTGAGGATTTCTGTAAAGAGACATTGCTGTAGAGTTTTTCAAATATATTTCATGTTTTCAGGTGAGCGGTCCCTTTATAATAATATATTCCATGTAATGTTACATAGATTTTATTTCCACATTTCTAACATCATCGAAAAGGCAGGTATGGCTTGAGTTGTAGAAAGTATCAGTTCTTATTTTTTGTCTTAAGATAAGATGGACCTTTATTAATCCCCATGGGGAAATTCAGTAGTTCAAATAGCAACAGGATACAAAGGAAAAACAGGACCACACAGATTCACACAGATAAGAGATTAATACAATTAAAGATAAAATCAAAGATAAACATACATCTTGTGTTAATTAATGTGAGACACAATGTTAAGAATATTTCTTTGATGTTAGAGATTTATTTTCATTACTTATTCTGTTATCTGAAAATTATAACTTTTTTTTTTCAAGGATGGCAATCTTTAAATAATCCCTCTTGAAATAGCAATTTCTACATCTCGATGGGTTCTTGGTTCTTCCATGAGGTGCCATTTACAATGTCACATAATTCGCAATTGATCCTTACTCATTGTTATCGTATCATTTATTTTTGATTAGTTATTGGCAGGTATTGGCCTGGGGCATTTGGCCAGTGATTGGTTGTTCATAGTTTCTATGCTTACATATAATTGGCTGCGTCCTGTGTGCACTGCCAGTCCTGACAATGGAGTGATGCTTTCAAGTGCTAATCGGACACCCCACAAATTCCCTCTGAGAGATAGTTAACAATCAGATTTCAATATTCCTGGTTAATATTTTCATTCAACTTGAACTTTAGGGGGTTATTTTTGGTGTATATCAAGCGTGTATTATGACGCATGTCATACATTTGTAATAATGTAGGTCTAGCTCAAAAGCTGTTTGACCACCAGTTTTTATTTTCAGCCCGCTAAACGCACCATTTTGGCCGACACAGATTTATTTGACCATTGGTTTCAGTTTAAAGCTGCTATTTCCGGCAGCACCTGAAGGCAGCAGTTGTGCTTGCTGAACTCGTGCTGAGCCTCGCAGCTTTCCCACTACAACAATGACTGTGAGCAAGCATGTCCGGCTGGTTTGAAGTTTACTTCAGTGAAACTGCCCGAAATATTCTTTACATGTTCTCATAGGGTGAGTGTCTTCTGTTGAGCCTCAGACAAACACTTTTTAATCCCTAGTGCAGAAAAATACTAAACACTAAACAGAGATTGAGCGATCACTGTGCCTACTTCTGATCCGCTATCGTAGACAGTTATGCAGCTGTTGCATGAAACGTCAGCAAGTTTAGATAGTTTCCATGTGCAGAGCATCTTCAGCATGAAGGGGTTTATGATTGATTGTCTTTCCCATGTGTTGCATTTCAGAGGTTTCAGAAGCACTGTGTCAAATGGAGCTGGAGGACCAATGGTGGAAAGGACAGCTGGCTGCAGACATCTACCAGGCGCTGCGGTACAAAGTGAGTGGGATAACTTTAGTGATGGCTGCCAGGTCACATCAGCCATGACAATACACTTATTTTTAATCCTGTGTCATGCTAAATGCTGTTAAGAACACCTTGTGTTATATTAATGCTACCTTTTTTAATGATTGGATATTTTAGTTATTGCATGTCTGTGATTCATTCTTCTTTTAGGAATATACAGAATAAGTCGATATTTAAAAAAAAGTTAAAAACATATTCATGTTTTTATATTACAACCACTTTTGTTAATAAAAATAAAATATTATTTTTGATAATTCGTTTTTATTTGTAGGCTGTGTTTTTTAATTAAAGAATGGGGTGATACACAGTAAAACAGATTTTAAACAGCAACGGAAATCCCCATATTTCAGGGTCTGATAACAGCATTTTATGATTTAATTTTTTGTATTTTTTTAGGCATACACCAATCAAGCCGATAATTTAAAAAATATATGTATTTGGGAGATAGATAAAATACTGTTGTATTGTAAAACTACTATATTGATTTTTTTGTATTTCGTTTCATTATAATAATTTTTAAACAAATCTGCATACAAATGTAATAAAAAAGCGTGTTGCTGTTAAAAAAGAACATTGTCATGATTTTTTTGTAAAATCGAAATAACCCATAAGTTCAAAAAACTACTTTTTATGTAATTTTTGCATTAAAAAAAGAAACTATTATTATCAATTATTTTAAAAGGTAGTGTTTAATTTTTGGGCGATCGATTAGTCAACTCATACTCTAAGCAGATCTAGTACCGAAATGACTTGATCCTTCTAGCTGTGTTTTTTGTATACGTTTGCAAATATACATTGCATTGTAACCAAACTTTAATGTAGTGAACATAAAATCCCATATGTTGTCCAATAGGAGCTCAAGTTGCCTTCCTTCAAAGGCCAGTCTCCTCAGCTCAACTTGAGGCGGTACTTCGCAGACCTCATAGCCATCGTCAGCAACCGCTTCAGGCTGTGTCCTGCAGCCCGACACCTAGCCGTCTACCTGCTGGACCTCTTCATGGACCGCTATGATGTCACGGTGCAGCAGCTTCACATGGTCTCACTCTCATGTCTTCTTCTGGCCAGTAAGTGTGTAGATGACCTCCCGTTCCAGCACGTGTTTCTGGTTTGCTCATGATGATTTGTAACTCTTAATCATCACAGGTAAATTTGAGGAAAGGGAGGACCGGGTGCCCAAGCTGGAGACCCTGAACAGCCTGGGCTGTATGATTTCCATGAACCTGGTACTGACCAAGCAGGGTCTACTTCACATGGAGCTGCTGCTGCTGGAAACCTTCCAGTGGAACCTGTACATCCCCACAGCCGCTCATTTCATAGAGTACTACCTGTCTATGGCTGTCCAAGAGGGGGACCTCCATGATGGCTGGCCGATGACGAGCTTCGAGAAGACCAAACTATACATGGCCAAGTATGCTGATTACTTCCTGGAGGTTTCCTTGCAAGGTGAGTGTCATTTTGTCAGGTAATGGGAACCTGCCAAACACACTCTGCTGCCTTTCATATGGCTTTCAATGTGGGGTCTGATTACATGCAGGGGTCCTTGAAGAGATCTCCAGAGTGTTTATGTAAAGTAAGTTTCCAGGCTGGCCAGCAGCAACCTATGTAAAGCATACAACAGGTTTAATGACTTGATTTGTCTTTTTTGTACTGCTTTTTATTCAAACAAATATCTTCAATTGGCTGTTCTTTATAAAAATGAAAGGAGAAGTAATGAGGTATCTACATGCAAAATGCGATTCTATATGTATATATTTTTTTGATTAAATGTAACTGCTTTTGTGAAGAAAATTGTATTTGTATTTATACGTTATAAATAAATGTTGTCCCCAATGGGACATTTTGCTTGGGAAAAACTGCTGCACACAGCTACAATTCACAAAACACAACATAGTCAACAAGACAGGTGTTCTCCAGAGACACTGAATGCATTACATTTATTCGTATATATTTTTATAAATTGCAAAGTAATACATTTTAAATATAGATTTACTACAACAAATCACATGAATTCCACAAGAAAGCTTAGCTTGGCAGCTACTCTGATAAGCTAGTTAGCTTTAGCAGGAGTTTAGCTTGGTTTTTATGCTAATTTATGAGTGAATGCAGTAATGTAACACTTGGTAAGATGGATCATGGTGCTTCAAGATTTTAATCATTTTGATTACAGCTGGATAAATACCAATTAGTAGTGTAATTTTAGATAAAGCTAAGGCTAGCTGTACCATCTAACTTGCTTTTCTTTCACTTGATGTAGCACTCTTTGTGATAACTGTAGTTTTGTGGCAGTTAAGAAATGTGATGACTGCTTTGACAGCCCAAACAATTTGTATGCTGTTTTTAGGAAAATGTTTGGCCATGATGATTTCTGTACATGCTAACAAACATCAAAAAGTTAGATTACTGTCAAAACTGTATTTTGAAAGATTTTAAAGTTTCTTGGATTCGGGAGGCCTGATAATTTATTCCGGCGAATTAATCAGAACTACTAATTGGCCTAACAGAAGTTATTGAGTCTATGTAGGTTTACTGCTTGGCTCAGATCCACCAAAGTCAGCAAGACCTCACCTCTATTAACTCCTGAAGAACCAGGTTCAATTAACGGCTGTTTCAATTCAGACGACCCGCTAAATCTGTTTAAGCGATCCCGAAGGATTTTGATATCAGTAATGAGGTGTGGCCCTACCTAAGTGTGAGACTGGCAGATGTGCATTTCTTTCCTTTCAAGCAGGAGAGGAGAGCGCAGATGTCTTTTAAGTTGTCCCAATCCAAAAGGTGGGATCAGTTTATTTGAAGAAAAATTGGTCCACACTTATAAAGGGTTTCTACCATCTGTCGTTACAACATGACAATCCTACAAAACATATCATGCTTTAGTCATGTTCTGAAACCTCAATTCACAGTTTTACATTTATTACACTTTTACCGGTCCTGGCGTCCGCGCAAAATTATACAACTTTTTGAGGCAAAGCCCTCAAAAACAGGAAAGGTGGTGCGGAATAATATTAATACCTACAATAACAATAGATTCCTCGCACTTCGTGCTAGGACGCCGTTGGGTCCTAGCGCTCCGTGCTCGGCCCTAATAATAATAATAATTGTGTAGCAGAGTTTCCGTTGGCAGGTAATTACCGTACTATCACCGGATATGCTGATTAAAATTCAGTTAATGGGAGTGATTTTTATATTGCTTCAGTTTATAATCGTAACAGATCGAAAAGTTCAGATTCATTTTTCAATAAATTATTCGCTACAACAAACAACATAATTATTACATTAAAACAAACTACTTATAGTAGATAAAGTACATTATTCAAAAGTTTACATTAACTTTGGATAATAACACGGGAGAAACGGATCCTCTCTTTTCCTCTCTCCTGAGAGCCCGTCAGTTTCTCATGCAGCTCGCTAAACAGTGGGCGGGGCTTCAGGTTTTGCAAAATATTATTCTCGGCTATGGCACAAACAACTTTTTGGGGCTTCAGTCTTTCTCCAAAAAGTCAGGAGCCCCCCTCCCTGTGTACTGCTGCTGTAAGGGAAGAGGGAAGAAACTGTCTCCCCTCCCTTATCAGTGACACCCATAAATCATAATCGGCCTCAAGCGGGTGCTTCCGCCGCTCCGAGCGTTGACGCCTAAAAGGGGGGGGGGGCCGGTCTTAAGTTTTGCAGACAGTTAAGCAACGGCAGAAGGTTGTAGAAGAACTATACCCGAAGGGTTACCGTGGTTAAAACAGTCACACTGATATGCATAATCGGTATTGTCTAGTACGTGTCGGACGGCTGTGAATGGCCTCCCCAGAGCTTCAAGCTTTCTGACCGCACGTAAAGAAGCGATACTCATACTACGGGAAAAAACGGTCGACCACCGCGCTCAACGGAGGCCACAAAAATGCGCCTATTATTACGACGCATACCGCCTTACTCGGCTATACACATCAAGTCGGTGCTCGGAAGACACGTACGAAGAAAAAAACTGTGCGAGACAAAGTGAAGGTGCCGCCCTAGAGCGCACCAGACGCTGCCAGAGTACGGTCGTCCACGTTCGGCGTCACGAACAACCGCAACTCGACGCGGGCGGGGCGGGACGGTCGTCTGCTCTCTCTAGAGGGGGTGCTCGGGTGCAAATCGTACAGTTCCAATCTACATACGGGAGCTAGTATGAAACAACTTAAAGACCCGCTAAATATCGACTTTCGCGAACGAGCACCCGAGTGGGTGAAAAAGAAATTCGTGACGAGGCCAACTACAATTTTGTACACCAGGTAAAATAAGCTAAAATGCCGTTTGTTTACAAACAAACTTTGCAAAGGAAGGGGTTCGAAGTTCGAGAGACGTTATCGCGACGGTGGCCCGGTCGCAGTCTCAGGACGAGGCAAGCCGCATGGCCGCTCGCGGCGATGCGGCTGCGCCACTGGCGTTTTTTCCCGCACTAAAGGCTGCCTGCGGCCCCACCTAAAAAAGTTTGGAAGAAAAGGGCGCGCACGCTGCCTCGGCCCAAGACCAAGACGGCACATTTTGTTTCTACTTACGCCCAGCCCAGCGGCGCCACAACGATATTATTATTAACGAATTCATCGATATATTACATCAAATTACAAATTTAGGAGTCTGGGAGAGAGGGGCGGCAGATGCGACCCGGCTGACAACGTATTAGTAATGGAGACGTCGCGTAGTAGGACGAAAGACTCGCGCGGTCGTAAGACTATACCGACTACCACTTCGGAAGAAGATCGCCTCTTATGTCGTAAAAAAGTTGTGAAGGAGATCTCGCTTTAGGTTGCAGGACCTCCGAAGAACCACAGGAGGATCAGGACTACCTCTCTTCTATTGGTTGTAGGGTGCGAAAAACTCGGGCTCTTTGATACGTTGGGGACGCGACCACAAGATTATTAACGTGCAAATAGGAGTGACGACGTGCGGACGGGCGGATGGGGATATAGTACGCCACAAGCCCAGCCCAACGCCTAGGACACGGCTGCCAGCCCAGCCGCAGACGGCGGGTGGACGGCCGTAGTGATTAACCATCTATAACAGCCCATCGCCCCGCCCAAGCGCCAAAACGTGCGAGGCCGGGCGCACGGACGCCGGCCCTCGACCGCGAAACTTTAAGGCTGGGCACGGGTCCTGAGACGGGGTGTGCGGCGCAACCCTGGTGACGAGATTGTGGCTGCGCGATGTCTCGAGTATGGGATGGACCTCATCAAGAGTCGCTGTACCCCTGGTCCGACACAAGGCGTCACCAACGATCGGACACTCCGAGTGGGTTACGCCCCCCCGGTACACCGCGCCCTGTCCACCTCTACTCGTGCCCTCACCTCGGGTGGTCTGCGGCGGGTCGTCTGTGGTCCTCCCCCTCTTTGTGTTCTGTGACTACTAGGATTCCCTCTTCTCTTAGTAAATCGGTCCCACTTCGTGTTATTGACGTGCGACAATGCCGGCCCTTGCGCCCATATCGATCATTCGCAACAAAGCTGCGGCGCGGGCGCGGCGGCGGCGCGGGCGGCAGGAGGCATCCATCCCAACTTATGAATCTTGCTTTCAACTTCGACTAGCCGGCATCTAGTGCGGCGGCTTCGGCCATGGAGTCAATCTCGTTATCGCGCTCTGTCGGCACCATACTACCGAGGCCTCGAATATAGTGTGCGGGACTTCGCCCCACGACCAGAGGCCGCGGGGCTGCGGCCGTCTCGGCCCTCCAGCCTGCGTTGGGCCCGTGCGGGGAGCGCGCGATCGACGAGGGCGGCGCTAGACTCCCTTACCTGCCGGCCTCGCATGAATAGTCCGCCCCGACTTCACCGTCGATAACGAGAACAATTATTTTGCCAATGTCTTCACACCGTTATACTGTGTCTTTGGTGAACGGGTGTGGTGAAGAGTTAGAGGATGTTATCAAGAGAAGCCGCGCCCGGCCGATCCGAGGGTCCCATTTATTCACAGCGCAAGCTTGTTGATTGAGTTAGTCGACGAGCCAAACGAAAGACGTGATTTTGTATCGTTCCACCAACGATAACGTTGGTTGTGATAGGTCGTACGCTTGTATACATCTGGTCTCTCCGCGACAGCTGGTAATAAACCGACAAAATAAAATGTAATTAACCACATACAACGCAAATAACAAACGTTGAGGTGACTTTTGACAGGTTTGTAATCGTACGTACCGAATGCACCAAGTGACAATATCCAACAAGCTCGACACGAACCGCACCGGCTCCTTATAACGAGGTGACAAGAGGCGGCCCCGAGGGGGCGCGGCTCTCAACCGCAAGGGCGGCCGTGCATCGCAGCACCGGCTCTGCCCGAAAGCGTGGACACGCCGGCTGCCGAGTGCGTGCCGCAGGCCTACTCCAGAGGGCCCGCGCCCGGCGGCCGGGCTGCGCGCCGCGCGGCGCCCGGCCCCCGGACGGACACCCAGAAGGTGTCTGGGGCGCGCCCAGTCTTTCGAAAAC